ATCTCCAGATGCATTTGAGTTATCAAAAAAGTACTCCAGAGTGTTGTTCAGCATGGGGGTGAGTAGAAAATGAAGGCTAATCATGTTTTGGGTGTACTATTCCTTTAACCAGTGAAAAATTCCAGCCAATAGTCTGATTGGAATCCAGGACGAGACCTTATTACCTTTGTAATGTTCCTAAAATAAGGATATTTTGATGGCAAGAATTAACGTCGATGTAAGAACAATATTTGATATTATTTGCTTTTTTTTTTTTTTGCCAAATCTGGGATCAGCCTCATGTCTCTTGTTGCTGCATTTAGCAGGATTCCTCACACCTAGTACGACATAACCACACCTCCCATGTAAAACTGATAAAGCCATGATGTTAGCTCAATTCTGTCTTCATCGCTTATCCTGGATTTCTAAATTCTCCTTGTGTTCATAGGCCTCAGGGATGCTTTGCCAGAACCCAAACATCACATCCTGGTAAACATCTTATTCCTGCTATGAGACGCAGTAGTGCAGGGAAGACGATTTAGCATAAACGACTCCTGTTAGCAAACGTTTATAGTATGAGCTCATCTCCCTGAAGGCAACAGCCTGGAACAAACTGGAAAAGGATCTTAGATTCCTCAGAAACCTGCAACAGAATTAGAAATAAAAGAAGCAAGTTGGTCCAATGGCCTAGTTAAAGTCCAGACCTAAAGTTTAAAAATCAGAGCGGGATAAAATCTCTCTTCCTCTGTTTACCTGAAAAATGAAACGTATCGGTACATTTGTCTGCTTTAAAAAAGAAAGCTTCTGATCTTGTAGAAACGGACAGTTTTCTGCCTCCTAACAGCCTGTTTCTTCATATATTGGTTAAAACACGGTTCTAAGAACAAACATGATGCTTTTAGAACTCTTAAAAGAACCTTTGCAGTTATTTTCTGTCATTAATGCATCTGAAACAAAGAATGAATAAAAGAAAATGAACCCAGCTGTAATTTAACTTATCCAGCTGTGATGAAACTGTCCTGCTGAGCCGTCATCAAGATCCTGCTGCGTCCCGTCTGGAAACCATCTCTGCCGGATTCATAACGTCCTCATTTCTTCTGCAGCTCAACGACTGTAAGTATGGGACTATGAATCCGGTTCAGGATCAGTATCCTGTCGACGGATGAGGTCAGAGATTCTGCACGACGGGGAAAAGCTGCTCAATACCTAGCTGTTGAGCACGGCGGTGGCAGGGTGATGATTTGGGTTTGTTCTGCAGGACGTTTCGAGCCACCAGGCAGCACATCAGGTACATGAGTTGTTGAGTATTATCAGTATGAAGAGTATTTTTATTTTTAAACATGTATATCTCAGATGGTTTAAAAACAGTTAAAAACGAAACGACGTGGAGCGTGTTTTGACCTAATCTACAAGAGGTGCTTCTTAGTCTTTATGGAAGATGACAGAGAGACAGCTGTGATCAGTTGGGAGTTGTTGCTGGGGGGTCCGGTGGAGCGACGCGGCAGCAGACGGCCACGCCAGCCGCCTCAACTCGCCCTGCGTTGTGGACGCGGCAGCCGTTGCCTTGAGGGACGGACCCAACAACAGCGGCGTCCCGAGAGACGGCGCTGCAGTCTGTCAAAGTCCAACCTGAAGGACAGGACATCTGAAACCATGACATCCGAGAGTAAGAAGAGACATCCGGGACACGAGGGTTAGATTTCTGCAGTGACGGTAAACACCTGGTCTGCGTCAGACGGCGTTGCTTCCAACAGGTGGCACTGAAGCGTCGGCGCGTGGCAGCAGACTGCGTGGGAGGTGGCCCTGCCCTTCGCCAAGCAGCCCCTCCTGCCTCCATGATGAGGACGGGAGTCAGATAGGATCTCAGCTGTGGACCATGTGGTGCACCCTGAGGAGGAATAAATGTTAATAGGATTTATTTAAAGGGTCAGGAGCCCAATGTTCTCACAGCAATCATCTTAACTAAAAAGTCATTTCAGTCTCTGATTAAAAGCCATTGTGGGGGGGGGGGGGGGTTTAATGACATTTGAAAACCTGTTCTTTACACTTCATGCAGTCTGCATTTATGCTGCCCAGGAGTGTTTGTGTTGCCATGGTTACATAATTGACCTAGAAGCTGCAGTGTTCAGCTGATAGAAAAGCATGCTACATTTAGATGTATTATATATTTATGTTTGCGACAGAGTTTGTTTCACTGTGGTTTAAGCTGAACATTTGAATTCAGTTTTACATTTTCTGTGCAACTTAAAGACAACCTCATAAAGACGATCATAAAACGAACACACTGCAGCGACTCATTGGGTTTTGATGCGACTGACATTAAGTAGTGCATAAATGTGCAATTGAAATAAAACACTTTTTTAATGTGTTGCTAAGGTGAATCTGAGGAGTGTTGCATGCATTTGCTTTCTCTCCTCTGTATGAAGAACATCTATTAGCAGCATGTTGTGATTTTGGGTAATTCTATTCAGTTTATTTCTATAGCTCCAATTCACATCATGTCATCTCAGGTCACTTTCCAGTTCACCAGATCATCCAGTCAGATTGATTCAAAGTTTTCTATCTAAGGAAAACCAGCTGATTGCATCGACTCATTGACTCTTCAGCAATCCCTCACACTAAGCATGCTTGTAGCGACAGTGGAGAGGAAAACCTCCCTTTGAACAGGAAGAAACCTCCAGGAGAACCAGGCTCAGTGTGAGCGGCCATCTGCCAATTAACACAATGTCTGCCTTAAAGTTTAAACAGTTAAGTTTTAAAACTAATTCTGTTCCTTCTGTAGTTTGAGTCTCCAAATAATAATTGTCTTTTTGACCAATTTTCCAAATTTCAGCAGTGAATCTCCCCCCAAAGCTGACATGGAGCGAACTGCTAGATTCCTCTGACAAAGATTCATGATAGTTTGAACAGCGACATAAGGAAGCCCAGTGCTACATGAGGCGTTTAATGAGGCACTTTGCCTGATCAGCAGAGCATAAGGCAAAGACAGTCAGCAGCATTTTTTTTCTACATAAAGTTATTTTAAGGCTGGAATAAGAAAATCAACATTAAAGCTTATAGTTTCCATGTGAAGAGGAGAAATAACAATGGACTGATTAGGCTGGTTGTGAGTGAAGTCACATCCGAATCATTTGGCTCTTATAAACAGCAGGTGAGTGAATGTAGAGCATAAATAAGAGAGGAATGTTTTTATCACATAAAGAAATGGGTTGTATATAATTATTTGCCTGTGATACAGTTTATTTCCTCATGCATTTGTAATTAATTCAGAAACGCTTTTTCAGAGCTAAACGTAAGCGAACACTGTAATAATGAAAGAAATGGACACATGGGGGGGTGTTGGCCTGGTGGTCAGAGAAGGGTGCTGTGCTCTGAGAAGGTTGACCGTCCAACTGCTCCCCCAGGGGAGGGGTTAAGTGCACAGAGGGAATTTCCCCATAGTGGGAAAATAAAGGGATTTACAAAAAACAAAATAGCAGTTTGTGGTCAGCTTCCCACACTGGAAAAACGATCTAGAAATAAGTAAACATTTCTTAAATTAAGTGTATTTGCCATTAATTTGAGTAGGTAAATGAGATAGTTTGCTAATGGAATGAGTATTTTTACTATTAAAATAAGATATTTAGATCATATGCACTTGAAATAAGACAAACCAATTGTTTTTTTCTTATTTTAAATGTAAATTATCACGTTCCATTGGCAAAATGTCTCTTTTACCTCCTCAATCCAAGAACAAATGCACTTATTTTAAGAAAAAATGACTAATCTAGATTGATTTTTTTCCAGTGCACAACAGGCATTTCCATCTTATATTTTTTTTGTCCCTTTTTGTATAATTAACTGTGTTTGACCCCTGATAAGCATTTCTAACTTGCATATTTCCCTCTAACATTTATACATTTTTTTAATGTAAAAATTCCACTTTCTGCTTTGCCTCCATGAGATGCAGCTGCTGCAGCAGGGAGGGCAGTTTCACTTGGGGACAAATGGCCATCTCTGATTGGTGCATCCAGGATGAATGAAGAGGTGCTGTCCTGACCTCCAGGCTGCTGCCATGAATAATCCTCCTCATGATTGGTGTTTCAGTGAGGATGGATGATGGAGGGAGATGTAAAGCTGCATCATAGCCCCCCCCCCATCAAGCTTCTCTGCTGTAAACGTGTCTCCTGCGTTGTTTGCTCTTTAAAGAACAGCTGATTTTATTACTGAGATTAAGGGAGCGTCCATGGAAGTACTGCATCGGAAAGTTTTGGTTGATTAGACTTTTTTTATATATATATATTCCCCCCTTGAATTTTTTCCACTAATTGAAATCTTTAAATTCACATTAACATGAATTTAACAGACTAGTAAACAGATAAATGGAGGCAGAAGATGTCTTTCAGTCATCAATGACAGGGCAGTTTTAGACCAAATGTCCGGGGGGACAAGAAATAGGGCAAAGGATTTAGATATATTAATAAAGCTGCATGAAGTTAAATTTCTACTCAATTAGGTTTAATTAAAATTCTGTGTCTTATTAGTTAAATATACGTAATTAAGGAGTTTTACATATTTTTGACTTCTATAAAATCTGAATTACAACTCAAGAAAAACTGATAAATTCAGCCATAAAAATTAGAGCAATTTCTTTTTAAAAACAAGCATTTAGCAGATGAAAACTTGGATCTTATCTTAATTCCACTGAAGCTATCACCTTATTGTTTTAAAATAATTAGTAAAAAGGAATTTGTAAAGAAAAAAATGAAATAGATCCAAAGGAGGTATCAGTAACCATGTCTGTTCCAGCGCAGAGGGCCAGGGCACGATCTACAGGGGCACTGGCCCCCTTAGGCCCCCGTCTAGAACCGCCCATGATCAATCAGCGACACACAGGAGCTCTTTCAAGCTGGGCACCGTTTCATTCACAACACCTGTCCCATCAACCAGGAATCAGAAATACTTTAATAATCCCAGGGAGGGATTACTTTAGTTACATTACTCCCTCTGTAATAGAGTGACTATAGGAGCAGTTTGATAGAACACTATTTCATACAATAGGGGGTCCCCGCTCCATTGCCATCAGTTTGGGGGCCCGTTAAAGACCCCGGGTCTTTTGCATTAAAGGATTTAAAATTCAAAGAATGAAACTGTAATCTGACCGGCGTGTTTGCATCACTACCTGTGAGGTGATGCTGTGGGCCTGCACACTGAGCGTCCTGCCCCGGCTCAGGACTAGCGTGGGCCTGACACCGCAGGCCGCTGATGGCACAGCAGCGGGCCACAGCATACACACCGGTTCCTGCCGGTCCATTGAAAGCCGTGCACTCCATGCGCCCCCTGCTCTCCTGCGAACGCAGAGATGCAGCTTTAACCTGTGGAGCTTGTTGAGTTTCTGGAGGTTTGGTCGCTAACAGAACTCACAGTGACGGTTTCTCCCACACGGGTGCCATCAGGAGCATAGCTGCTGCAGCCCATCAGTTCCTCCCCCACGCGGCAGCGGCTCACAGCCGTGTCTCCACCGGACAAGCCTGACCTCTCTGACCACACAGAGCGGCAGACCAGTTCGCCATCTGCTTGGAAGAATTCATTCCAGGATCAGTGACCTGTACAAGTGATACGTGTGCAAAGCCGAGGTTAGGAAGTCACTGACTTGGCGTCGGGTTGTCGGCAGAAGGCATGGCTGCCACCAGGTTAGGAGTAGTGAGACGATGCGTTTCAGAAAGAGGCAGGAAGTTTATTGTGTCACTAATGGAATAATGCAACATGGTGTGCAGGACCTGCAGAGGAGACGCCTTCTGATTGGAGGACAGGATCACAGCGGCTATACCTGCACACAGTGGTGGAAAGGAACACAGTAGATTTACTTGATTACATTTTTTTGAGTATCTTTACCTGAGTATATTTTTGGGGTGGGTACGTATAACTTTCACCCCTCATTTCTAAGAAGCTGGCTCTGACTCGTTCCTTTAGGCTAAGCTTGGGTTTTTAATCTGCTGTTGCTGTTTTTCTTTCTTGAAAGGTCAAAGTTCATCCTTGCAGAAATAGTTGAGGATGTTCTTTTTATCAAAATAAGTGGTCGTTCTAAGTGTCAGTCATTCTGGTGATACGTCTACGTACGGCCGTCCTACGCGCTCGCCCCCATTTTCCCTTACCATCGGTGAGTCTGACAAAGCGGAAAAATTGCAAATGTTGTTTTGGAAAGTCAGCTTGTATGATCGATGCAAACAGCAACTATTAAACACAGGGTGCATGAGGAAAAATGGGCTCGTGCACGCTCTCGCACGTGTTTAATAGGCGTTCCCTCTTGGGAGCGGGTGCAGGGTTGTGCATGTGCATTTTTTATTTTTTTTTTTAAGTGGAGAGGGCAGGTCTTTTTCAAAAATTAGCAAAAATCCTCCACTGTACCTTTAAGAACAGGTATCCTGGATGTTTAAGTTATCTCACTTTTTCAGCACAGCAGGGTCAAACGGCTCATTAGCAGAGTTTAAATAAAATGCTGCTGTCATTTCGCACCTTTACTGTTGCTGCTATTTACAGTTTATTGGTTCTTCTTTTGCTAACTACATTTATATTCAAAACATCTTTATACAACTACTGTAAAGTATTTATATTTTTTGTTTTAATCTTTCTTCACTTTATTCTGTTATTTTTTATTTTTTTGATATACCCTTTAATGTTTATACTTGTGTGAACCTTTCATATTGTCGGTTGCTTTGCCACCTTTACAACTACCTTTCCTCATTGTGGGACAATAAATCCACTGGACTTTGTTTCCAAGTTTGAAGGCATTTCACTTCCCATCCAGGAAGCTTTTTTAATTTTTCAATTCAAAATGTCTAGATTAGCTCTGAGTTGAAAAAGCTTCCTGGATGGGAAGTGAAACGTCTTCAAACTTGGAAACAGTCCAGTCCATTCATGTGAATGTGCTTTACTGGAGGCATCCATGTTTGTCAAAGAACACTACTGCCACCTACTGGTTAGTGACATTGTCACGGTGCGGTATCGGCTGTTGATCAAGTCCCAGTGCTGTATCTGGTGTTTGTCACAACGCGCTATTATCCAAGTCATCTTGAAAACATTCTTCTTCCAAATGTTGGCTACATATTACGGGTTTTTTCTCTGGCCAGAGGTTCGATGGCAAATCCTCCCTCTTCAAGTTGGCGATCCAACGACCAACCCGTCCGTGGAGGATCAGGAATCAGAAAGGTGGAATAACTCTTTTTTTCACTTTTACCCGATGTATTCCAGCATCCAGCTGCCATGCACGTGGGCATTGTCAGTTTCACTATAGCTCTGGTGAATTTCAATGGTGAAGTCCTCTGGAAATCTTCAATAATTGTTGTTGATTGCAGATGTGTCTAGTAGTTCCCATTGATTTAGCTTGGAAAGCGGGGAGAATGGCGCTAGGCTTACCGCACCGTGACGTCACTGCTGGAAGATGGCAGGAGGGAGGGGCTACTTAACGTTTTAGTTTTAAGTATAAATAATGACCCATTGATTATTCCTGCTGACCGGACTTTTCCTTTAATAAAGATTAATAATCAAATTAGCTGTCCTAATTTTTTTGTTGCATTTTTCTGCAGAAGTTCTTTAAGTTGGTGAATTGGTAGCAGAGCGTTTCTATGCATCAATACATCAGGGTGTTTCTCAAAGTTACAAGGTTCTTTAAAATTACTATGGAAATTTACTCATATTAAAACAATTGTTTTGTCTTAAGTGTTTTAACTTGAGTATATTTTTGACCAAGCAACTTTTACGTGTAGTTGCCTAAGATTAGCCTGTATCTATATTTTTTCTCCAGTACTATAGTTGAGTTCTTCACTCATCACTGCCTGCACACAGACAGACAAAGCAGAGCACTATAAACCAGTTGTGTTTGTTACTGCGGCTGTTTGTGACGGGGCATACCGGCGGCATGAGCGGCAGCCTGCGAGGTACCGCTCTGTGAGGTGAAGCAGGTGCTGCAGTCACTGCTGGCACTGATGATGTCATCACCAGGTGCAAACAGATCAACGCAGGGGCCAAAGTTGCTGCCCCCGGCTCCTTGTGACATGAGATGGTCAGCTGAGTTAACGGCTCCAACTGTGATGACCTGCAATGACAGACGAGCGTTAGAAGTCGTCCAACCTGATGAAGTTGCCTTTAAATGTTCCTGATCAACCTCTGGTTCTGAAGCCGGTGAATAGAGGCAAGCATCTTCTCTGTAGTTCCCTGCAGCGGCGATGACAACGGCTCCATGAGCCACCAACTGTCTGCATGCAGTGTTCAATGAGCGGCTGAAGCCACCAATGAAAGGCAGCAGGACAACTGCTGCATCCACAGGGCGGGCCAGTAAGGTTGCCCGAATATATTCCAACCCTGAACAGGAAGTGGAAAAAACAGCAGGCATCAGTGTTTACACGACTTATTAAGTTATTCATACTTCTTATCCTGAGCTATCTCTATAGTTCTGCTGCTATAGGCTTAGACTGCTGGAGGACATAGGGACCCCTTTTTCATCATTCTGCTTCATTCTATCTCTATTCTCCCACTCTGCAGAATCTGTTAGTTCAATCTCTAACGTTCTGCTCTCTCTGCTTTTTCTCATAGTAGCTTCATCTGGTCTGTTCCTGTTTGGCTGTGACTCCATCCTGGAGAGAAATATCAGCTGTGCTGCTGCCATCAACACCTTTGTTTCTAGATGTTGGAGCTTGGCCTGTTTTCCAGTGTAGTCCTGTTTCTCTGACTGTGACTAACTGGATGTGCTCTCTTCATCCTCTGACATGGGAGCTGGCTCGGAGCTCGTCTGCCTGGCTGTGTGTTTCCTGGACGGGGCCGCCTGTGGAGCTGGTTGACAGTTGCCTTTTGTATCTATGCTTCTTTTTCTATGTCTGCTTCTGTCTCCTTGAACCCCAGTGGGCCTCAGCAGATGGCCGCTCACACTGAGCCTGGTTCTGCTGGAGGTTTCTTCCTGTTCAAAGGGAGTTTTTCCTCTCCACTGTCGCTACAAGCATGCTTAGTGTGAGGGATTGCTGAAGAGTCAATGAGTCGATGCAATCAGCTGGTTTTCCTTAGATAGAAAACTTTGAATCAATCTGACTGGATGATCTGGTGAACTTGAGATGACTTGTTGTGAATTGGCGCTATAGAAATAAATGAATTAAATTAAACTTTTTCAAACTTGTCTCATTGCCCAACCATCTAATATCTGAGTCAATAGTTTGTGAAAACAGCTGCATGTCATTGTTATTCTACGTATGTTAACACCAGATGCGCTTTGTGCAGCAAAAAAGCTCCAGCTGCTTCATTTTGATGCTCATTTACTGCTATTAAGCAGTAAAGTGAGTCCAGATGCATCTGATGCTTCTGCAGCTTTACTGTATTTCCTGTGATCAGTGGGTAAAAAGTACTTTTAATATATTTTTTTATGAGAAATTATGCATTAAAACATAATCTATAATCTATGCAGTCAGTTCATCATGGTTACCATCCTGCCTATAAACATTATTTGGCTGTCGGACCGAATTAACATTAAATTAACATTTTAAATCAATATAGACGTTAATAAACTGTTTCAGAGGAGTGATCATAGCGCTCTGCATCAGCAGTGCTGCGTCTGACTCCCTGCCAGCTCCCAGATCAGCTTCTCTGATTGGTTGATGCGACGCGTCCAGCAGCTGCTGCCTCTGAAGTTCATCCTCAGCGCTGCTTCGGCTGCTTAGATGCGTCAAGTCGCGCTGCTCCTGCTGCTTGAAACGCGCCGCAGGACCTTGATGCACCTTGATGCACGTCAACCATTGACTTTGCATGTAAACCAGCTGCTACTGCTTCAATCGCATCGCGCACGTTGTGAAGGCAGCATTAGACATTTCTTCATCATCTTTCTTCCCCACATTCATCTTTATGAAATAACTCAGATTAAGAGCATCAATAAGCAGCCATAAAGCGTTCCTGGCGTCTCAGTTAGATGGGGTGTCAGCCAGTCCAGTAAGGCTTAGTGCTGTCAGGTCTAAAACAGACCGACCAATCAAAACATCGGAGGCGGGCCCATAATGCAATATAGATATATGGTTACATTTCTACATCTGGCTGCTGTTGGAGCTTTTCTTTTTTTAAAGAATGTTTTTGCATCACATGCGTAGCTCTGATTGGCTCTGTTTACACTGCCTCTGTCTGTCCCGCCTTTGAAACTAGGCTCCACCTGTTCCTTTCCAGACTGATGTGCTTTGGACAGACTCTAACTGAGCCATAATTAATAATACAGAAGTATTCTTTGATCTAAGACGTCTCTATAAGCGGTTATAAAACTTTTGCTGTATTTAACAGGTTTTCTTCTAAGATTTTCCTGAATTTAATTGGCTTCATTTTCCAGTCTACTCTGACCAGCTTCTCTGCCCTTTCTTCAGAAAAGCATGATGCTACCACCGCCGTGTTTTACCATTAGAATGGTGAGTTAAAAGATATTATTTACAGTGTTGTTTTTTTCCTTTGCACATAGTCCTGAGCAAACCAGATTATTTTAGTCTCCTCTCACCAGAACACCCTCTGCAACACCATCTTCCTCCAGTCATCTCTAGCAAACCTGATGCTTCACAGAAAAGCTGTATTCTTCTGCCTGCAGTTGCTGTCAACTTTAAGGAGTTAAACTAAAAAAACATTTAAAAACTGTTCTTCTCAGATTATAAAGTTGTAAAAAAGATGATAATTTTCCTTCCACATCAAAATGATGCCCTAGTTTCATTGTTCTGAGAACATTTCCAATAATACTGCACTGCAAAAACGATCTGAAATTAAGTAAAAATTTCTTAAATCAAGTGTATTTACCCTTAATTTGAGCAGGTAAATAAGATAGTTTGCCAATGGAATGAGCATTTTTACATTTAAAATAAGATAATTAGATAATATGCACTTGAAATAAGACAATGCAATTGTTTTTTTCTTACTTCAAATGTAAATTGTCTTGTTCTATTGGCAAAATGTCTCACTTACTCAATTCAAGAAAAAATGAACTTATTTTAAGAACAAATGACTTATTTAGATTTACATTTTTTGCAGTGTGCGGTCTGTGGCTGCAATGTGAAAACATTCAGGTTGCTTTCACCTTTTATTTTATGTGAACAATCTTGTCCTACCTGATAGAGCTCCTGAGACTGATCCTTTACCCTGACAGTTGAGCACACGGACCAGGTTCACGCCGGCCCCTCGAGCGACACCAGAGTCCGATCCGGTCACCACGCCAGCCAAGTGTGTGCCGTGACCTTTGCAGTGGCTGGCCTGTCAGAAGGAGAGCGAGAAGCTGAGCTGATGGCAGAGATCTGTATGAAGGCTTTGCTTCTGAGCTGCTGTTAACAAACCTGCCTATGAACTCTGACTCCATCCTCTTCAGGGACGCTATTAAAGTCTGTAATAAGAACTCGTCCTTCAACCTCTCTGTGGGAGCTCTGCACACTGCCATCCATTAGGTACACCTCCGCCATCCCTCCATCATCTGCAGAGGAGCATATGTGCAAAACGCAGGGGGCCTTATGTCAGTGGTGCATGCAGATAGTTTAGAGCTTTGCTGCTTAGAGGATAAAATCCACAGAGGATAGAAAGATGCTATCTGTTAAAATAAGCCATTTTTTATTTTTTTATTTCTTATTGATTTCAACTCAAACCCTTCCACGCAAAGTTAAACAAATTAGTTAGAAAAAACTAAACAAAAATAATTTGGTTACATACGATAATTCTGCATCTCCACCACATTAAACTCATATTAAACAGGAATCAGTTTTCAACATAATATCATTTAGATTCTTCAAAATTAAATCCCTAAATACGGACTGACAGGCTTCTCTTTGGTAATAAGAAATAAAGTCCTTAAACAACGTCTGACTGATCTCACTGACAAAAGCCATCAGTCAGGAGGAAAGTATCAAAGACAAATGCATTGGATGAACCATGCACCGCAGTGAAGGTCATCACCAAGTGGAGAAAATATGATGCAACAGTTATTTAAGAGATTTTATGGATCTTAGGAACACTTTATTTACACAATTC